GCGGGAAGCCTGCTTCTCCCTCTCCCACTTCCCCTGCTTGTGTTCCCTCTCTCGCTGTGTCTCTCTCTGTCCTATAAATAAATAAATAAAATCTTAAAAAAAAAAAGAAAACATGATCTATGTGAAGCGTCACATAGAAACTTTCTGGTCGTTGGGTATTAGGAAAGAACGTGTATTCTCCAACTGTAGAGTGCAAAGTTCTGTATCTGTCAATTAGATCAAGGTTTTAGCTGTGTTGTTTAATTTGTTCATATGCTTACGGATGCTCATTCTTTTTTTTTTTATTTTTTTTTATTTTTTTTTATTCTTATGTTAATCCCCATACATTACATCATTAGTTTTAGATGAACGGATGCTCATTCTTTTTGATTTATCGATGGATGAAACACAGGATGTGTTAAAATCTCCCATTATAGTTATGTGTCACTTTCTTCTAGTTCTACTATTGTGTGCTTTATTGTGTGCTGTTGCTGTCCTCTTACTAAGTGCATGTATTTTGGAAACTGTTAAACAGTACACAGTGCTTATTTCTAATAATACTTTGTGCCTTAAAGTCTAATTTATGAATATGTTTACCCCCGTTTTCTTTTGTTTAGTATCTGTGTGGGATATCTTTTCCCTTTCTTTCGCTTGCAATGAAAGGTTGAAGATCTAACCTAATGTTTCAGGTGTGCCTTCTGTAAACAAGGATAAAGCTGAGTTCTGTTTTGTTTTTACCCCAATCTAAGCCTTTTCACTGTGATTTATAAACAATTTTCATTTCTTTTGACCTTCTTATTTTGTGCTATTTGTCCCTTTTTTTAAACTTGTGCTTCTTTCTTCCCTCCTTTTGAATTGACTTAAATCCCTCCCAACTCCCAACTCCCATTCCATATTTTCCCTTTACTGGTTTGGAAGATAAACTCCATTCCCGTTCTTTTAGTGGTTACCCTTAAATTTTATCAAGTATCCTTAACTCAAAATCTAAAAGTTGGCCAGTGTCTTCACCCCTCTCCCAAGTACACAGGGACCTTAGAGCTTGCTCTAATCACCCCGCTTCTGGCTTCCCTGCTATGCTGTCCAGCATGTTACATCTAACTCATTGTTTTACTTCTCTCCCCCAGTGCTATTTTATATACTGTTACCACTGTTTACACTGCGCTTGTTTAGATGTACCACATTTATTTTCTTCATTCATCCTTCCAGCTTGCATCTCAGACATCAGTCCTGAGATCACTTTCCTTCTTGTTCAACTACATCTGCTAAAAGTTGGGGTCTTCTGGTGGCAGACTATCAGGTTGTTTTTGTTTGGTTGTTTGTTTTTTGAATCAGTAAGTGTCTTTATTTCACCCTTGCTCCTGAAAGGTGCACAAGGGAACACAACTCCCAGTGGGCAGTTAACTTACTTTCAGTGTTTTGACACTATTATACCTCCATGTGACTTCCGTCATTCAGACATCTATCGTTCTTTGGCAGATAATCTCTTTTCTCTCTCTGGCTGCTTTAAAGGTGTTTTGTCTTCGATGTTTGGAAATTTTACTATAAAATGACCAGAGACGAATATCTCTTGGTTTAATCAGCATGCGAGTTTCTGGGCTTTTTTAATCAGAGGATTAATATCATTTATCAACTCTAGGAAAATTCTTAGCCGTTTATCTTTTTGATAATGGCTTCCAAACCAGTAGAGGAAAAACCATGGAATAAAGAGGGGTGTGGGGAATTCCTTTAAGTCTCCCTACTCTCTCCTTTTGAATTTCCATTAGGTATATATTGGCCCTGTGTCCATTACATCTCTAAACACACGGCATAGTTTTCATCTCTTTTTCTCTTTGTGGCACACTCTGGGTAATTTCTTCAGCTCTACCATTCAGTATGTTAATTCTCTAGCTATGTCTAATCAACTGTCTTAACTCTTGCATCAAGTCTTCCATGTGAATTATCTTTTCATTTCTAGAAATTCTACATGGTTCTTTTTCAAATGTGCTTGGTTGTTTTTATAGCTGTTTTCCCCTTATTCATGTTTTCAATTCCCTTTGTAATTTATTTAAACGTATGTGTTTTGTATCCCGTATCTGGTAATTCCAAACCCCCAAAATCTCTAGGTGAACAATTCTGTTTTTCCTGATGCTGTGGTATCTTACTCATGGTGGCTTTTATCTAGTGTGTTCTGTGATTTCCGACCATGAGCTCACACTTCTTGGAAATTTTTCTAAGGAAATCCTCTGAAGACGTGGATGATTTATGTTTGCTTCTGCTAGATGCCTTGTAGGCTGTATAGGCCTGGCTCCACTGTGTATGGTAGTTCTCAGCTTGAGGCTTTTCAGACTATTGACTTACCAATAGTGTAAATCTAGGTGCCAGACCCAATGCAGGCACCCACTGGCCATGAAATTGCAGAGATGACTTGATTTTTTAAAAATATATCTACTCAGAGCTAAGGTAATAAGAACACAATTGTTTTTACTCTGTGGGGTTGACTTTTTTTTTCTACTTGATCTTTTTCCTGAGAACGTAGTCCTTTCTGAATTCTTACCTAATGTGAGGTGATCTCTCATCTGGCTCCTTACCCCAACCCCACCAAGTGCTGAAACTCTATGCCAATGCTTCTTAATCTTTTCCACATCATAACACACATAGAAAAATAGTATTTGGTCCCCTGGCGTAAACTGTGGGAGCTGCTTCAGGGCAGAGAAGACGGGTCCTGGGCTGGGAGGTGGGGGGTTCTGGCCTGCCCACGCAATAAAGAAATCAGTACCTCAGCCACTCTGTCACCCACCGTGGCACTCTGACAGCACAGGCAGACTCTGCTCTAGGACGTCCTGACCCTTATGGAGCTCTGAAGGTATGTGGCTTACCTGTCTGTAACTTCCCAAACTTTTAAATTTCACTGATCAGTATAACTTTGAAGAAATTTTTAGGGACTGACATATGCTTGCCAACATGGTATGTACAAATGAGGACATTAGAAAAAATTTAAAACAGTTTTTTTTTTTTTACCACTTATACCATTATTTCCTAAAAGATTTCAATACCAAAACCAAAAAAACTTATAAAGAATATTTCAGAATAATACAAAGACCTACAAATCTCATAGATCTCACACTAATTTGCTAAGGACTGGCATAAATCTCTGGGCTGGCATTTGGGACTAGCAGACTAGAGACTAAAATGACTGAATCTCTCCCTTTCCATAAACCCAACAGCTTACTGGAAAACTGGCTTACTTTACCTTTTTTCACAAGAGACACCATCGATATCCATGCTCTGGGAACGTGAGAGAGACTGAGATTGGGTTTCAAGGCTATTGGAGGGCGAGCTGCTGAGAGAACTGACTCCTTCACTGCTCTGGCTTCGATGAGCTACTCCTAGCCAGAAAAGACAGGAAAAATTAAGTTTCCTGTGAAGTAACATTAAAGCCATCTATAATGGCGACAGTAAACATAAGCATTTACACCATCACGACAGTCAGCAAATGAGGAATCTCTATCAGGAGATCATGTTAAATGTTCAATATTAAAATCATAGAAACATTAGCAAGAAATCATAGTTTATCCATATATGTCATGTGAGGTCAGTGACAAAGCTACATCTGATAGCCAAAACTAACTCATCACTTTTTCTTTCACCAATTCGAATATGGTTCCCGAATACAAATTAGCTTCCGTGATGGTCCAGAAAAATCCTTGAAATGTACCAAAAGTAAGATAAGTTAATAAATGGCTATAGAAATATACAGATGGATAGATGTGTGACACAGCAAATATACCAAAATGTTAATAGTAGAATCTAGATGGTGTGTATATAGGTATTCATTGCAAAATTCTTTCAACTTCAGTTTAGGCTTAAGATTTTCACAACAAAATGCTGAAAACATGCCAACAGAGCCATCTAAGCAATGTCCTTAAATACAGATCAACTCATTTATTGATTGAACATCTCATCGAATGATAGTGTGGGGAAAATAAAAACCCCGACAATGCCCTTGCCTTCATAGAGCCTACAGTATAGAGAACAACAGCGATGAGTACAGGGCAGATTATTTCTTATCAATGTCTTTAAAACCATGTTTTCTCATAGAATTTAAAAAAAAACTCTATCTTTCCATGGGGGGGAAAGTGTTTTACCCAGGCATTTGCAAGTACTTTAAAAAATATATACTTAAGGGGCGCCTGGGTGGCTCAGTCAGTTCCTTAATACCCATCACCGGGCTAACCAATCCCCCCTCCCCCCTTTTGTGACTTTCATTCTTGACGAGGCGGGGAGCCAATGGAGGGAGCCAACAGAAGACTGATGTGGCCCACCTTATGAGGTGCTTATTTTCTGTTTCGTTTAAGCTTGTTTATTTAATAAATTTGTGAAAATTTGTTTATCCAACCTGCCAGGCACATAGCTAATAATATCTACCTAACTGTGATTATGAATGATGATGATTATGTGAGAAACATAATCAGGACTTCACAGCATAGAGGTGCACTGGCCAGAACTAACCATCTAGAGCTGCCCAAGTTTTCCAGTAGTTCGTGATGGCAACGTAATGAGCTTGCTGTGAAAAATAACCCTGCTGTTATACAAGGTTGTACTTGTGCTTTAGTGGGACCCAGTCTGGTGCTACCCTAAGAGACAGCAGTTAGGCGGCCACTCCAATAATCCAGGCAAGATATGTTGGTGCCTTGGACCCTGCATTTGGACCACTATTTGTTTTTGTAAATAAAGTTTTATTGAAACACAGCCACACTCATTATATATTGTCTATGGCTGCTTTTGTGCTACAGGGGCTGAAACGAATAGTTGTGACAGAGATTATACAGCCTGCAAAACCAAAAATATTACTACCTGGCCCTTTACAGAAAGTTTACTGACCCCTGATCTAGAATATGAGGTAAAAAGAAGAGGTAATGTTTTAGGCTTAAGCAACTAGAAAAAAACGAGTTGCCATTTATTGAGATGGGATTCAAGGAGAAGATAAGATGTGAGGAAAGAGCAGGAGCTCAGTTTTGGACGTGTTAACTGTGAGATGCTTCTTAGACATTGCAGGAGTCTGAGGTTCCAGGAACAGTTCTGGGCTGGAGAGATCAACCTAGGGACCAGCAGCTTAGAGATAATAATTAAAGCTGGGAAACCAGATAAAATCAGTAAGGGAATCAACACAGATGGAAAGGACAACAGGTTAAATATTGAGCCCTAGACCCCTGACATTTACAGGTCAGAGAAATGAAAAAGAACCATACAGAGCAGCAAGAAGAGACAAACAGAGACAGGATGAAAGCCAAGAGAGTGTGGAGCTCTGGAAGCCAAAAGAAGAAAGTGTTTCAAGAAGAGGGCCAAAGCCCCATCAACTGAGGCCAAGATGGTGACTCAGAGCAGACCGCAGGAGGCCTCACTCAGCTGGATTCGAATCAGCAGTGGGTGCAAGGACAGACAAAGGAGACAGAGGATAGGCAAGTCACTCCGGAAGTTTTGTTGTGATGCAGAGCCAGCGGGGTGGAAGCTGGCAGGGGAAATGAGATCAAGAGAGTTCCTTTTTATGTATTCCCATGATGGGAGAAGGAACAGCATCTATAATGACTGTTAAAAAAATAAAAGCTTTCCACTTGAGATAGAAAGCCTGACGAAGCAGGAAAGATGGGAAGTGCTCGGGCAAAGGCTCTGAGTAGGACAGAGGAGGTGGGATCTGGGGACAGAATTCAGTCAGGGGTGGACGGTTCACGCTTAAGAAGAACCGGCCACACGTACAGGCAGGTAGGAGGATGCGATAATGGGGAGCTTACAGAGATTCCCTTTCGCCTGTGTCTGTTTTCTCCATGAAATAGGAAGGCAGGCCATCAGCCCAGAGCTGCACAGAGAACGAGGTGCTGCCCACTGAAGCAGAAGGTTTGAAACGACCTGTGGAGTGGGGGAGTGAATGGGAAATACACTCTAACTACCTGTGAGAGTGTGTGACCACAAATCTGAAATGAGACAGATAGCATGGTTCTGGACTTTTCTCTAGTCTTGTCCCACAGCATGAGACAGGAAGGAACCAGGAAATGGTATCTGAAACCAGGAGCATGGACGGGGTTGCCTGGCTGGCTCAGTCAGTAGGGCATGGAACTCTTGATCTCAGGGTTGTTGAGTTCAAGCCCCACATTGGGCGTACAGTTTATTAAAAATAAAATCTTTAGGTGCACCTGGGTGGCTCAGTCAGTTAAGCATCCAACTCTTAATTTTGGCTCAGGTCACGGTCTCAGGTTCCTGAGATGGAGCCCTGCGTCAGGCTCCGCACTCAGCGAGGAATCCACTTGGGATTCTCTCTCTCTCTCCCTCTGCCCCTCCCTCTGCCTATGTGTGCATCTGCTCTCTCTAAAATAAATAAATAAATCTAATAAATAAATAAATAAAATCTTTATGAAACAAACCAGGAGCATGGTTTAACCAAGGAAGTAAGACAAAGTGAGAGGGAGGCGAGAGAGAGGAGTGACAATGAATGACTGTGGAATTTAAATGGGGAAAGGAGGTAAGTGGGGACCCCGGGGGAGGGAGAAGTGAAGAAAGTGGCATAGAGGGGGTGAGCCAAAAAGCTGAAGGTGGTAGTCAGGAAGTCGCTGAGATGTAAAGGTCTAGAGCATGACCACGGCCATGAGTAGCTGATGTCGGATGGAAGACAAGGTCACTAAGGGAAAGCGGCTCACAAAAGTGAGATGGCAGAGTCCTGGAAGGTCAACCATGTTGCTACTGAAATCACCATGAATCATGACACAGGCAGTACCAGGGAGACAGTGGACCGAATGAGGCAGGGAGAACAGGTTCAGGGGATGGCTGCAACAAGGACAGGAGTGGGGAATACAGTCCGACGACACGAAGTTCAAATCTATGTGTTCTCAGGGAGGAGGAAGAGTGGCCTAGAAGAAGAAATGAGAAAGCAACGGAGGAAGAGAGTAAATTCAGCGAGAGCCCCAAGGGGAAGGGCTGTCCATAGAGAAGGATTCTGCCAGGGACTGACCGTGAGCATTTCAGAACTGGGGGTGGGGGTGGGGGGAGAGAGGTGTCTGTAACAAGCCATACACAGATTAGAGACTGAGAGGTTAAGGGATGAGGACCTGGGAGACGCGGTGGCTGACATAATAAGCAGGACAGGGCACGTGCTGTGATGATTCCTGGTGGTCCCAAAGAGGCAGGGTGCTATGACCAGGTGCAATGACCATGTGCATGCGGAGCTCCAGTCTCCAGTCTGCCCACCGCTACTGCAGTGAGATCTCAGGCCCCTCCCCATCCCACTAGCTCTCCCCCAACAATCTCCTGCATTCCAGGTGAGACAAACGGCACTGTAGGTAGCATGGTCTCTAAGGAAAGGGCAAAAACCCAACTAGGATCCCGAGCCCTTCCCCTGCCAGAAGACCACCACGGCTTCTCACAGGTGTACAGGGGAGACATTTCAGGCAAAGGCACTGTTTATTACTAACTGATGATGTGGCCTAAGCATCTCTCACTTCTATAATCAACAGAAGGATGTATAAGCATTTATATTTACATGGGGAAGAGTCTACCACAATGCCTAACAAGAGCTATGGTAACAAAAACTCTGCAAATACTCTTAATTGACGAGTTACCTAGTTCAGAAAGACAGATTATGTGGAAGGCAACTAAGGGAGTGCTTTACATGACTGCAGAACTAACAATCATATTAAATTAGTCAATGACATGATGATGAAGAATGCAGATTTGAATGCACCTGCTTTTTCAAAATTAGAATCCTAATTATAATACTTATTGTAATGGTAATAATTCTTATGTTCAGTAGAAAAGTTCACTTGATAAAAGACAGATATTTTCAAATATACAGTGTGCGTCAGTATCACTGTTTCCCAACAAAGACAATCATGGATATCAACTGTGAGCCCATTAATTATAAAGAAAGAAATTTTCACAACAGTTAAATTGTCAATGAGATAGCTATAAAACATCCCATCAGATAAACTTTTATACCCTGAAAACTCAGAGAAAGAGTTACAAGACAATGTAAAATGAAGACAAGGAAAGCCATAATTAGAGGCTTGTTATTTTGACCATTATTTCAATCTTGCATTTTCTGGTGATTTTATCATAAAAGAAAAGCACCAAACTCATAAAATCAGCTGAGTCAAATTAAGTCTTAATCACCTTGCCATCAGAGATTAAGACCTGACTCTGTTTGAAACAAAGGATGAAAGTTATGGAAAGGAAAACAATTAGTTTTAACAGATCACCATAAAAATGAATAGAGATTAACAAAACACAATATAATGATCTTAATCTTTTAAACTGCTTGCAGAATTTTTTTATTTTTTGCTTGCAGGATTTTAAAAAGCTGCTGTCCAATTCATTTTTCCCTGCTGTGAAAATGTCACAACCATAAGCTTCCTAGAAAGCCATGACTGAAATTATAAACGTGTCCCAGGTATGAAAGTGAGGCTTACCTGATGCACCTATTGGGGAGGTAGCTGGGGTCATGTTGTGGACATTGAGACCAAGGCTCTGGGAGGGGCCTGGGGCTGATGCTGCTATAGGAGGCCCCAGAGGGTTCTCCCTCTGGGGCGAGGTGAGCGGGGTGGTCGGCTGGGAGGTCTGTCCACCAGCAAGTCGTGCAAGGCGCCTCCGTCGGATCTACAAGAGGGGAGAAAAGACATTCTATAACTCAACCGTAGAAACACAATTCTGCCTAAGAACAACATTAACGTTGTCAGTAAGCATCGAAAACCACACCAGAGCTTAACAACTAAATATGCTTTGAGAAAAAAGGACTCATTCAAGACAAGTAATAACTTGGCATACCAGTACTTTCACAAACTACCACCTCACTTTTTAAAAACTGCATCTTGGGGCGCCTGGGTGGCTCAGATGGTTAAGCGTCTGCCTTCAGCTCAGGTCATGATCCCAGGGTTCTGGGATTGAGCCCCACATCCGGCTCCCTGCTCAGCAGGGAGCCTGCTTCTCCCTCTCCTTCTGCCTCTCCCCCTGCTCATGCTCTCTCTCTCTCTGTGTCTTGAATGAATAAATAAAAAATTTTAAGAAAAAAAATAAAAACTACATCTTATTGCCTTACAATCCCTGTTTATCACACTTCCTTAACCGATAGCGTGAATCTGCCATACTACACTTTCAAACACACTGAAGCTTGTTATTTTATTTTTTTATTTTTTAAAGATTTTATTTATGTATTTGGCAAAGAGAGATACAATGAGAGAAGGAACACAACAAATGGGGAGAGGGAGAGGGAGAGGCAGGCTTCCCGCCGAGCAGGGAGCCCAATGCGGGGCTCAATCCCAGGACCCTGGGATCATGACCTGAGCCGAAGGCAGACGCTTAACGACTGAGCCACCCAGGCACCCTGAAGCTTGTTATTTTAATAAAACCACGTAACTTGGTTATTTTAAATAGGTGAGATAGGTGAGTTGTTTTTTGTGTGTGTGGTTTTTTTTGTTTTTTTTTTTTTTTTAAGAGAAGGGGATGGGGGAAAGGGCAGAGGGAGAGGGAGAGAGAGAATTCCAAGCAGTCTCCACACCAACGCAGAGCTCGATCTCATGACCCTTAAGATCATGACCGGAGCAGAAATCAAGAGTCAGATACTCAACCAACTAAGCCACCCAGGCTCCCCTAAATAGGTGAGATTTTATTTTTTCACTTATTTTTTTATTAACATATATTATTTGTTTCAGGGGTACAGGTCTGTGATTCATCAGTCTTACATAATTCACAGCGCTCACCATAGTACCTACCCTCCCCGATGTCCATCACCCAGCCATCCCATCCCTCCTACCCCCCTCCACTCCAGCAACCCTCAGTTTGTTTCCTGAGATTAAGAGTTTCTTGTGGTTTGTCTCCCTCTCTGGTTTTGTCTTGTTTCATTTTTTCCCTCCCTTCCCCTATGATTCTCTGTCTTGTTTCTCAAATAAATACCCAATTTAATTTACTAAAGCAAAAGTTTCAAAAGTAACAAACATTACACTAAGAGCCAAATTTTGCCATCACTTTCAGGTGCAAAGCAATTCAATTTGTCTTACTTAATTGCAATAAAAATATAATCTGCCACTTCTTCCTTATAATAATACCCCAGAGTTATCCAGTGATTAAAATATCTACCACAAAATCCCAGTGGATCCCAGAAATGTTTCCCTCACATTTTGACAATCATTAATTTATAACCAGGCAATAAACTCTCACTGACCACCTGCTGTCCCAGGCAGTGAGGACATCTAACTACTGTGACAGGCTTCTGGCTCTACGTAGGCATCAAAGAAGCAAACCAACTAGGCTGCTCCACTCATTCCTTTACAAATAAGGAAGATGAAAAAGTTAACCTACGACAAATGCTAACTGGGATGGACCTCATCTGAACTAAGAATCTGTCATTCTAACACTGCAGAAAATCTGCTCCTTCTATTGTTCACACAACCAAGGACCAAAGATTCTTGACCCCAAAGTTGAGAAACCCACTCCTATGCCCCTGCTGCAAATACATCTATCAGCGAACTTACATAAAATCCTCAAGTTGTCTGGTTGTTCATCTATCTACTTCACTAGATTAAATCCCTTGAAGGAAAGATCAGGTCTTAATTATTAAAAATAAACACTGAGGAGCGCCCGGCTGGCTCAGTTGGCTGGACATGCAACTCTTGACCTCAGAGTTGTGAGTTCAAGCCCCATGTTGGGGGCAGAGATTACAAATTAAAAAAATAATAATAAAATTAAAATAAACACTGATGTGGCACTTTGTCTTCTAGCAATGTTCTCAACACTTTATAAATCCATACTCATTTAACCCCTATAATGAGCCTCTGTGGGTACTTATGCCCATTTTATATATGAGCAAACTGAGGCACAGAGGTTACATCCTTGCCTAATTATAAGTGGCAGAGCTGGAATGTAAGCTCATGTAATCTGGCTCCAGAGCATATGCCCTCACCACTAATCCAATGGTCTGGGGATCTCTGGGGATCTCCAAGACCCTTGCAGAGGGTATGCTGAGGCCAAAGCTATTTTTACAGTATCACTAAGACATCTGCCTCTTTCGCTCTCATTCTCAAGTGTCCAGTGGAGTTTTCCAGAGACTATGTGACATGTCATGTTGCAACAACTTAAATACGGAATTTAATATGAGAATTCGGCTGTATTCTAGCAAACCGGACATTTAAAAGGCTTGCAGAAGTGAAGATAATGTCAACTTTTGTCACTAAACATGTTGTTTTGGAAAAGGTAGTTTTTGTCATTAAAGATATATTATTTATATTAACATACAATGTTTTTATTATTTTGTTTAGGTTTCTCACTTTTTATTTCTTTTTTTT